TGTGTTAATGAACTTGATCGATTTTGACCTCATTTACAGATTTGCATCCTGACGCGTACATAATCCGCTCGAGCAAGTAGGTCCATCGAATATAATTCAGTGTAGGATATCGCATCGATATTATTTTCCTGAGTGCGCGAAACAACACGATGGAAATCGACAATATCGACTTGTGCCCTCTTCTCTTATCTTGAGCCAGAGAGTGGGTCATATGTTAAAAGAAAAATAAAGAAAATGAAAAAATGCTTTCCTCTGTTTTGTTTGTCAAGTACGTTGTATACTTTCCTCGCTCTCAGAAATGCAATAGAAAAATACTTGATGCCACTCGGTGGAGTGCCTGTCAATCAAAGTATTTCACACGCGATATTCGTGTACGCATCCAACTATTCCTCCACAGTCTGTCCATTGGCACGATTCTACAGTCGGAAAATCCAACTCGATGGAAAAAATACTGCACCGCTGAATAATCCATGAAATAAAAACGTTAGAGTGCCGAGTGTAACACGTATCGCGAAAAAATGATCCAAATTTGACACGTGACTCGTGCGCTATATTGCGGCTACGCTTCGCTACGTATACAATTTTACAATGATAAAAAATCACTTTCACGTCGTTCGCGAGCTGCAGCAAACGCGCAGATGTCCCGTATAGTCGTACAAAAAAAAAGAAAGAAAACTTTTATATCGAGTGCAAGTATATAACGTGCAGTACATGACGTAGAGTTTGTTTGTAAATGGAACCGTTGTCCTTAATTTCGTCGTCCAAGTTTGGCAACCGCTAAACTGCCGAAAAAAGTGCACGAAAATATAGTAATAACAAAGTATAATATCTGTAGGCCATTTGGCCGAACAAACAAAGAGTGTAAAATCTAGTTCATAGCCACTGTATGTGTAATATAAAAATGAAAATTGCTCGGGCCAATACTACGGCTAAATCCGTGCGGTCTATAACGTGCCGCGCTCTCACACTCACAATGCACACAGACAATGGCAGGGATTTATTGTCGAGGGAGAAAAACTAGGATATCAAAAAACTCATTTCAAATTAACTTACTGACTTGGACGGCTCAGCCGTTGCAGGGCAGCTATATGACAGTTTTCGGCTCGCGATAAACTCAACGTTCCGACGAATCGTCGGGCGTATACACGGTGTCCATAAAGCGCGTGCAACGCCGCAACACGGCTCAAGATCATATAAGTACGACGATCGGAGAAGGTATCTGCGGATGAGCTTTTTGTTTACGATCTTGCGGGCACGATCCGAGGTATAAAAGCTCGAGAGTCGCGAGCACATATTACATACACGCATAGCGATCCCCACGCGTTGACGCGCTCCAACAGCTCGCAGACGATCTCGCCGCGATGAAATGTAATATCGAACAATGAGTTGAATTTATTGCCAATCGATACGTGTAAATCTTTCTTTTTGCGTTTACGACTGTTCCGCGTGTGCGACGTATGCATGGGATCTATATTTGTACATTGAATGCGCGTGTATGCGTACGAAAAGCTAATGTGCAAACTCAACGGGTTCGCTCGGCTTTGCGTAACTCGTTCTTTTTTCTCTTCTTTTTTATAGGCATGAAATATTTCATCTTCGGCTAATTACGCGGCAGTCGCTTGATTGCAATCTGCATACAAGCATCATGGAGTACAATAAAATAGCAAGATCTTGTCAGAGCGCGCGAACGGGCCGCACGCGCGAAGAGGCTACAAATCGAGCGTAAAATTAATGTCACCAAGAGTTTCTTTTGTCGTTGTTATACTGGGAAACTTGGATGCCTATATGTACTCGCCTCTTCCTCGTGCTACGCTTAGCCGTATACACATCTATTACGTGTCCATTTTTTCTTCTCTCGGCGGCTCTCCTTCAATTAGCGTCTCATTGACACACTTGATATGCGCTCGATCCGCTAACTGCGCCCGTACGTATAATATTACATGCGCAACAATGTTACGACTCTCTCTTTCTCTCTCCAGTCTCTGTTTGCCGCGCAGTCCGCGAATTTATGTTGCAGCGCTTACAACTTCGATTTCACGGACCACTGACGAGAAGCTCTCTACCTATAACTGAATTTTACACGCGTGTCTCGGTGCAGTACGAGTAGCAAAAACGCAACGAAGCTCGAGGCTGTAATTTAACAGCTGACTTGAGAACGTCTCCCGAGACCGAGAGTATAACTTGTTCGTGCTCTTGCCATCTTGAAATTTTTTCTCCTTCGTGCATTTCCTAATCGCCTGCACGTGCGTATACAATACGTATATTGATTTTTTTACGACGAATTCAAGTATCCGTAGATCGTGAGCTTGACTCTCTACGCAAGTCGTTCAAAAATCAATTGAATTTTTGGCTTTATTTACTAAATATCCAACGCAACAAAGAGCGCTTTGTACAAAAGAAATATGCTTTTGCCTCGATTTTTCATACTCAAATGACCGCAGCAGTTCCTTTATTAACAGCTGTAAAATTCACCCATCACAGATAAGTAAAGATAAAGAGAAGGAGAAAAATGGAGTTCGTATATTTGTAATCTCACGAATTCCATTTCAATTTTCCCAGCTAAATGAGAGATATCTGTTGGCTATCGAGTAACTAGTATATGCGCACAAAGCAATCGCAAAGGTGAAATTTTTCTCGATAATTCGACAAAATTAATTTCCTTGTCTTCAACGAGCTTTTTTCAATTGCTATTTGTGTCTCGCTTCGTACATAAGCAGCGTATGGATTGATGAATGCATATATCTATACCCAAGCATTTCAATTCTTTTATGATAAATAAATCGCTCGAGGAGTCCTTATTATCTCGCTCGATCGACCATAAATTGATTATTTGATTTTCTGCACGTGGCAATTTGAAAAAATTCTTATGAAAAAGATGTAACTTGCAGTCGAATGGTTCCCAGCTCGCACAATCCATTTATGACAATTGAAAATAATGTCCAAACCTCGTCGCTAGCGATTCGTAACTATTCAATCGCACACGATAAGTATAACATAATACAATACATAACATTATAGCTAAAGCACACGCGAGATCGCAAAATGTCGCTGTATGTATTTGTGTCCAGTTACTTTATACTTTTAACTAGTTCGATGCCAATATACTCGATATAAATGCAATTGCAAAGGCGTACAAATAGGCAGCGTATGAGAACAAACTGTTGCTGTAACTTTTTTTTTAAATAAATCACAATTAAGATGCTATATAGGCTCGAGGATTGAGTGGAAAGCGCCTCATAACGCCGCATCGTCACGTGTCTGCGGAGAAAATTTCACGTGGATTATATAGCATTTGCACATGTGGTGCTCTCATTTGTATGTATAGTACTTTAAGTGTGGCGCGTCGATCATATGGAAGACAGATTTGATCGATGTCACATACCTATGTATAAAAAGCTTTCGAGCAAGACGTTTACGCTTGGAAATGAATTAAAGACATGGCGCTCAACTGATTGGCCTCTCGATTGTTTACTCTTGGGATTTCGATGCAACGTGCCGTACAAATTGTGTAACGCACTTCCAGTTAACTGTACAAAGTGTGTTCGATTATCGCAGGGTCCAGATTAAATCGCGAATCTTGTGACGAAGATACGTGAAAAATTTGCAGCGTTGAACTAATTATAATCTGGACAAGAAAGATAGCCCAAGCGCAATTCATTCGTTTTTACGAGTGCTAACAACAATTTAAACAGACAAAATTTTAAAAATTGTCGATCAATCGCTGAAAATCATTTATTTCTCCTAGATAATCTCGATTATATTTGATGAAATTTCTAATGATAATTGCGCATCACATGATACGGTATATGATTTATTCAATTTCATTGGTGAATTATTTGCATCATCCTGAACAAGCATGATAGATAAAAATTGAGTTTATTATTATTTTTATACTTGAAAATTTCGACTGTCGATGAAATTCTAAGATTTACAAATATGATGGATGTTCGATATCTATGAAATAAAAATACATCTTTTGACTCGATATAAAATTGATAATTGTTATCAAAATAAAAATTTGTATACAAAAGCTGGGAGTAAAGCAAAATCTTTGTGCTATCGATCCCATAGTTTGATAATATACATTATTATCATTTGTTAGAATGCGCCAAAAAAAAATAATAACACAATACTTTGATTTAGTAAAACGAAACACGCGAATGTCTTTGAATTCCCACCAAACAAAGCGTGACACAAATTTTATAAATAGATTTTTAAACGTACAATCAAAAATTTGCCGCGTGCCACAAGGTAAAAAGCAATTGTAACCGGTTCTCGCTCTGCAAAAATTTGTATGCATGAAATAGTCAAAACTTCGGGCGTCATTTTTGAAGACTACATCAGCCACGCAAAATAACGAAGATATAGCGTCATGTTTTACGAAGCCGGCGTTATTATTTTTCACATTTCGTCAAATGAAATGCTTAAAGTTCCTATGACGAAGGTGATCTTATTCTCTATAGCTAGCTGTATTCGATGGCAAGGTTGAAACTACTCTAATTCCATTTGATCTTACTCATTTAAAATTTTTCCGAGAAATTGAAGATTGGAACTTTCAGCTCGCCTTAGTGGAGCATGTCGCGCATGCGGCATCCCCCGAGCGCTACAAATCTTGCTCCGAACGAAACTTTGTCCAAGTAGTAAAATTCTAATGATATTGGAGCGGGTGTGCGTGGGCCACAGCAATCTATAATACATGGCTACGTACATGCAGATGTTAATCAAGGTACGGCTACTGCTATTAACGGTTGTATCGGAGAACTATAGTAAAATCAGGCTCCATCTGTCTGGCATACGTCATAGGGCGAAGCTCACTCGTGAGAGAATATTACAGGCTCGTAATATAATAATTTCAGAGTCTGCGTGGATGCTTTACCGCTAGCAGCAACAACGGCGGCAGCGGCAGCGGCAGCAGCTCGAAAAGCAACTGCACGTTCATGTGGTATAGGCAGGCCGAGAGCGACGAGCACTTGGTTCGCTCTCTCGCCTTGCTCAGAGAGGGAGAGTCCGTTTAAATACAGGCCGCGCCGAGCGCGCTCCTTCAGTCCGGCATCGGCTACGGCACGCAATCCGATTCTCTCTTCTTGCGAGCGGCGCAGCGCGACAGACACCATCGTACATATACGCCATTATAAAACAATAAATACACCGTACGATATCGCGGCCATTGATTATTAATTTCCAACGACGAGCGCATAATTAATCGAATAAATCGAGCTCGTTGCATTGGAGTCGAGTCGCGTACGGATGCACTTGCAGCTCGACGAGGAGAAGCAGCCGCGCCGCGTGGACTTTTTATCGGATCGCGTAACCCGTTTGATGGCTTCATACACGAGTCGCCTGTGATTGTGCACCAAAACTTCTCTGGATACATCGCTATGTGCAAGTGCTAAACGGGCTTGTGCCGCTGCAAATTTTTGACTTTCCTGCTCAGAGCTGTCGATCGAGCAAAGAAGATATATATTGGATAAAATAAAATCGTGGCAAGATGACGAACAGCATGAAGCAAACTGTCATCAAGTGAGTATTTTTTATTGACGCATTTCTATTTACTTTTTTTCTTTGCCGAACAGAGCCCCTTATCCGCCTGTTATTCCGCATTTTTCCACGTAAAGCATCGAATCGTAGGCATTTTTTAAATCCTTCTCTCGTGGCGAGCGATTGCACATCAACGGATGATTTATTGAAAAACATCGCTCGAGTGCGATCGGACGCGCTCGAAAAATTGCACTCGGCAAGCAGTGCGCGGCTCGAGTCCTTTCATGCAATCAAAACACTGCGGTTAATGCCCTTCCATTGGCACATGCAAGTATCAGCATACGAGCTCGTTGCGTTTACGCGCTCGGAAAGTCAACAGCATAATATAGGAGAGTGCGCGCCGTACGACGATAATTTCTCTTGCGAAAATTTGCTGCAACTAGCTCGCGCGCGACTCGCATGCAAGTGTTCAAACACTGCACGTCGCATCGGATAATTTCCAGCGAGTGTCTCTGTATGCATGCGTGTGCGCGTGTGTTGGTCTGCCGTGTGTCGAAGCAAACACAAGCGGGCACAGCTTTCGGAAAACTTCCTTCTTTCTCAAAGTTATATTATATCGTAGCGTACACTATGCGCGGAATGAGAAAGCCGGCTCGCCTCTGTATGTAATACAATCGATAACAAAAGAGAGAAATGTACAAGAAGGGCCCGTATACACGTATTTGGCTGCACGACAGAGCCAAAAAAAGTTACAAACTACGGAGTTTTGATGAAAAAAACTGCACTGCTGCATCGTGTAAGACTTGCCACGATGCAATCGTACCGATACATGTGCAGGCTTATAAGAAATCAGTTGCGCGCCTTAAAAACACGCCCCAAAATCTATAGATACACAACGGAGCATTTAGATTTTCGCGTCTCGTGAGAAGCTCGTTCACACGTACTCGCACGTACACCTACAGCGGCTGGTGCGCCGCTTAATGCACGTGGTATATCCATGTTTGTAAACGCTATTTATCGATCAATTAGAGCACGCGGATCGGGCCGAGACTTTGCTTGGCTTTAATTTATCGCGATCGACTCGCGTTACGTGTACGTGTATTATATGCGATTTATACATCGTATATATAGGCGGCTATATATAAACTTGTACGTGTGGGTGAATGACTCGCGATACTCATATCTACGTGTTGTTAAATACCTATGAATTGGCTCCTCAACATTTGTGAGAAAATCGGGACTAGCGATCGATTCGAGGGGGCGCGTTACTTTTAGTCTATATCCTAGTACGAGTGCGAGGCTTGAGTTTCGAAATTCATCGTAAACACACCTTATGCAGTGCTTCGCAACGACACACCAGCTATATATGTATACATTATAATATACCGCAGTAGCATCGCAATCATGCCCATCAAAGCTCACTAATTTCGCCTTAAACTGTTTTTTTTTCACTCTATTCGGCTTGACGAGTCGCTAGTCGGCCTGTATGCTATATAGGCCCCGCGTGATCCACGCGCGAAACAGCACAAAAATACACGAATAGTCGTTTCCCACGACTCGCGCGTAGTTTTTCATATATATAATATCAGACGGATGGTCGTGCGCGAGCCTCGTGCAGTCAACAATTTCACTTTGACAAAAATCCTCCTTCGTTCTCCTTTTCCTACCGCATTATTTTTCTTTTCTTTTTTTCCATCCAAGGTCACTACGAGCGAGTATGTAATCGCGTCTGTGCAGTGTACAGAGCTATATAATGTATCGTAAATTGACATTACGTGTGGGGCTGTATACATATTTAAGAAAAAACCGCGTATCATTTCGGATGCAGCGTACTATTATGAAGCTGGCGTGTGTGTGTGTGTGTGCAGCGGCGCACATGTGTCGCGGATCGCGGACGCGTTTGTCGTGCAGCGTTCGATGCACTCCAACGCACAAGCGAGCGTGTAACTATTTTTCATCGCACTCCGTGCACCATGTCCACGAGTCTTACGTGCATAATAACCCGCGCTATAGACTTCATCGAATTGTTATTATTTAGCTTTGGCGCGAGAGATAAACATTATCGAGTGCCGCCTGTGTTTATATATCGTAATACGAGAGAGTATAAACAGAGACGCGCTGCATTTCAGGCGCGACTAATCAATGCTGTACGATAATATCACGTATAAATATATTTTAAAACAGCTGCGATTAACGATTACAATGAAGCGAGCGGCTCACCGAGTACATAACAAAATGCTATAGCTGTGCTTTACCGTAGCTCGCAATCGCTCTTCTATACAGTAGCGTACCTTGATCTACTAATGAGCTATTCGTAATTTCACAATTCACGCGGCTCGTCGCCATCTCCGTGTGTGCTCGCAATGCACACACACACACACACACACACATACATGCATATGCTCGCAAAGAGCAGGAAAAAAATCGAGTCATTACGAAATCCTGCACGCAGACTTCGCCGCGAGGCGATCGGCCAATGATGCGCTTCGTACAAAGGCCAAAGTCCACATGTAAGCTGCACATTCCGGAAATTTTATCCCACTGCAGCAGCAGTTCAATGTTTTCGCATTATATCGTTCCAAGTGCAGAGCTTATTTAATTAAAACCTCTTCTCAGGAACTTACACACTCGTACTGGTCGAATCGGTAAATATTTTTCACTGCTTCTATACAACGCCGCGTATTTTTAGATCTGCAAAGTGATAACATTTCCTTGCGCAATTCCCAAGCCTCGGACATGTCAATGAACTTTCTATCACGCTGTTATAAGTATATGTATCAAGATATGTCATTTTTCATCAGTCAAACTTATTCAAATAGTCATAAGTAGATGTATAAAAATCATAACATACCCTCACGACACATGTTTTAATTCATCACGCCTATGTTTGTTAGGCCAATAAAGAAAATAAAGCCGCAATTTATAACGTGAAATTCGCACAAAAAACAAACCCATAAAACAGAATCTATTACATCTAAGCTTACGAAAAAAATATGACATTTTTTGAATCAACAACTGATGAACGGATATATGTAAATTCTTTCAGCAAAGCTCGAAAAGTAGGAAGGTTTAATCGATCATTCAATTGTAAGCTATAAGACACGTGAAATTCGAAACAGTGTAAATTTCTAAAACTAACACGACAATTGTCGCATAGTTTTTTCTTCAATTTAAATTCTTCGTGCAGCACGAGCTCTTCATAATGAAATCACGCAGCTTTTATTCACTCGCGCAAGGTCGAGTTTCAAGTTTTTTTCTTCAATCTCACTTTTTTACTGGAATAATCTTCATTACTCGTCGAAACTCCATGCGAGGTGAACGATGGAAAAGTTCGAAATTCATTATCATCTCAACGAGCTTGACCGCGGTGACTTCAAAATTTCAGTCACATTCGACGTAATTTCACCTAGATTTTACGAGTTTGAGAGATGAGAAGCTGACGACCAATCATATGTATCAAAATCTTGAATTATCGTTAACGGGAAAAACAACAAACGCGTATACATTTTATAGGCATATTAATATTCGCGTAATGTAGCCCAACGGTACATCTACACATCTGGGAATGATCGCAGTTCGCAAAGCTACTTTTTGATGAGTAAAATTTATCTATAGATACACATTGTAAATTTACTCGCACTGAGTGAAAAACAAAGAGTTCAATGTAAATTAAAATTCTGATTTATAATATTTGCGCCGTTGACGAAAAATTAATGATAAATTGCAGGTATCATGATTTTATCACTAGGACGACACGGAGAAAGATCCTTTTTCGGATCTTGATGAATAACGGTGAACGCACGAGACGCATAAATAATAAGTAACTCGTCTTTTGGGTATCTCCTGTCGTTAATGAATTTCCAATTTTGTTTTGGCGGTACTCCTATATAAATTCTTCATGACGAAAAAAGATCGAAGTATATAATGTGCGTTAAGCATACGAGGCTTAAATCAGAAGTACGCAAAGGAGGAAAAAGTGACCGATAATCTGAGAGCCATCGATTATAATAGATATATAGCTGCCCCGCGGTCTATAAAGCGATATAGCGAGGTGCGCAACCCTCCATCAAACTCGACCCTGACCCCGCAGGTATCTCTTTACGCGATGCGTTGTCGTGGAGGCAAATACGTTCACGCATATACACACATGTGCATACGGTGCAGCTCGTTTGCACACCTGAGCTGCGGCCAAAATTCGTTATTTTCATTAACATCCTCGAGGTGCGATCGGCGCGTCTACTATACCTGTACGTACACGCGCGAGAAACGATTATTTCATCAAGGATATCCATTTGCAACGCATAATACTCAATAGATCAGGCCGTGTCGCGCCATTTGTCGCGCGCAGAGTAACTCCGTTCCGGATTGTTGTTATTAGGACGTGTGCTACACACTCTGCGATTAATTCACTCTTATAAACATAATACTTACGTCGACCCGTTCACTATGCTCGTATACGTGGTCTTGACTTGATCCAAGATGATCAACAGGTATTTTATTCCTCGAATGGCTTATTCGGCTCAGAGGGAAGTTCGCATTAGTGAAAATTAAGGACGAATCTGGGTTATACGATTTGCCAAGCTCAAAATTAAGCCAAGTGAATATTACGGAAATCAAGCGCTGTGGCTTTCCAACTAGCTTCGCATGATATTCATAATTTTACACTGATCTTAATAATCGATTAATCCAGCTGGGTGTATTTTGATGTGGAAATATCTACTTGTTTATTTAGTTTAATTTAATCTATCATTTAGATTGTCCGACATTGCGAATGTTTTGGTCAATCAGAAATTCAATCGTCGTAAAACACGAAAAACCTGGATTCGCTGTCTTATCTTAATTCTTTTATTTCGTTGTAATGGCTACTTTGAAAACAAAAATAATCAAGCGCTTTTTAAGTGTACGTCTGACTGAACGCGAAACCCACAATTTGCACTACTTGGCAATACGAAATCATGTGGAAGAAGTAATGAGAGATAGAGAAAAATCCTTGAAATCTAAAAATGCAAAATACTTAGATGCGTTTGACGTATAAAAATAAA